AAGATGCTCGGCAATCAAATTCCAAACGGGGTGGCCCAGCAGGCCCCCGGAACCTCAATAATATGATGAAAGATTTTGGGGATCTCGGTTAATTATGTGGGTTGATGGCTAGGCCATTCTAGTTTGCTTTTCAATTGCCTTCAACTTTAATTCGTTTTGATGAGACTTTGAATTTGAATGGACTCTCAATGATTTCTTAACCCTGGACCCTTAACCCTAATCCCTAAATAGTAGTTTCCATTTGCTTTTCCCTTATCCCAATATAACCTTCAAGGCCGAGCTCTGTTAGCAATAGGTAATATTGGAAAAAAACGGAAGCCGAAGACCTCCCTTCCCTTATTGATGTGAATAGCTAGGATCCTCCAGCTCCCCGCATTCGGTTTGATGCCCCTTTTTTTTCCAGAGGCCCCGTCTTTGTTAGGGGCGGGGGGGAGGGGCCCCAATTGGGATCAAACATGGAGAGCACGTTGACTTGAGGACACTGCTTGCAAAAAAATACAATGCAAGGTTGTGAACTCGACCTGGACTCTGGATTCAGTTTGAAGTTCCTCTTGGCGGATTCCCGAAATTCAAGGCTTCAAATAGAGGGTCGTGATGTTCGGTTATTTTGAAGGGGATACTATCAGGGAAGATCACCGCCCGCATCTCCTCGGTCCATTCACTCTTCTCAATCGGCGCCCGAACTTGAACAAGAAACCTTGGTCATCGTCATGTCAAGTGTTACCCTCACTGAAGGTCATTAAGCCTGTGGCACCGTCAGATGCGCGCAAAACGTCACCATCTTGCAACGAGAAACAAGGTGAAGATGATGCAGTCCCCCATAAGCGCGGAAATGAGGCCGACAACACTGTTCTGCACCAACCCTTTCGCGGGATGCTTCTGCAGCTTTCCACAAACTAGGATGATGGCTGTCAGGATCTGCTCTCAAGTCTTTACTGCAAAGCTCCCAAAAATGCGCTGGGTTCTTAGGGCATGAGGTTGTGTTGGAGGTTAGGGCGTCCACCTAAACTCTGATATGCCTGCCTGTCGACAGCTGCTGGCCACTTACCGTTTCCTGCGAATCTATCACACCTTGAATCGGGGCTCTCATCCGACCATGGCAATTACACCAACGATGTGAAATGAGCAGTTTGTGAGGGGAGCTGGTGGGTTTAGGCCTGAGTGCTTCTGCTGGGCTTAAGTCTTGCAGCTAAGGTAGGAAGGTTGACAGGTTTTTTCCAGAGTTTGGTCATTGCAGATCTGTTAAAAATCCGGATCTGGTCCGGATTCGAAGTTCAGAAGCTGTTCCTCTACAGAAGGGCTTCATGACTGTGGTGGGAAAGGATGGATGCTTCTGCCTTGTTACCCCCCTGAAGACCAAGTATCGAACCACACCTTCAAAATCCCTAAACCACTTTTTGGGCCGCACTGCCTGCCAAGAAATCGTTGCTGCCATAACAAGCGGGATCCGAACCTTCAGGAGGTGAGTTGGTTGCGTAGAACAATGCGTTGGTAGCTCCAGCCGTGCATATCTTCCTGAGGCGCTGGGGTGAAGGTCGCCCAGGAGTGCTTGGTTACCCATGCACCCACCAACCACACAAATGCTCAGCACGAGACAAGAATCACCAGCATCAATGTATGCGAAGTGTGTATAATGATGCCAGTCCGACAGCCCAGCGCAGAAGCTTTCTTGAAATGTCTAGAAACCTCCGAACCCATATGACAAAACCTCACCCACCAGTCCCAGGCTCAAGAAAATCAGCGATACGCGGACTTTCATTGAGGTCAGAAGGCTGAGGCGCAACAGCGCAATCCACGGGTGGAAGGCAGCGAACAGGAGTGACACTCTGACCTCAAGACTGCCATGCTTGGGTATTCAAGCATGCTGCTCAAGAAACAAGTTTAAAGTGAAGGTTTGGAAACTCAAGTACGACACCATGGCTGCTTGCAATGTTAGATGTAGCTCCAAGTTTGACCCGAATCATCGACTGAACCAAAAAGTCGAAATCTGACGACGTTACGGGCAAACCTGATGGAAGGCCAGAGTGCACCTAAACATCTGACGGTTCATGCTCAAATTTCTGGTCGTATCAATCTGTAAACCAAAACTCACCCTGAGACAAACAGCAAATTTAAATGGTAACGATCAAAGCCAAGCACCATCCAGCAATTTGTGAGTATGCTCTGCACTGCACTGGCGCCATGAACATGCACCTCGAAACGGGCTTTGACCTCCCGCAAAGCTGCTGCGAAATCGCTCCTCGGAGAAAGAGACCATGTAACGCCACAATCTAACAATAACAATCAAATCAAATGAGGCAATATTGCTGCAGGCTGCAGCATGCAACATGACAAACATGATATAATATACCGATACATAGACTCTATAGACAGTGAAATGACACCAACAGCTTCGCGTAGGTTTTCAAACGCCCTGTTTTGGACCCCGGCACAAAGCAGACTTAGTTGAATCTGGGCGAAACCCGCTTGGCCAGCCGCCTTAAGCCTCCCTGAACCCTGGCTGTGTCTTCAAAAGCCCCTGCAGATTCTCCTGCGGTCCCCAGACAGGAGCGAGCCCTTCTTCTATGCTGGGCGCGCTTTTCATCAACTGTTCTTCATTTCCCCCGCAAAAAACAAGCACTTTTCCACGGACTGAAGATCCTCATAACCCTGTGGACGTACATTCTATTGATGGCCCCGCTGCCGTAGGGTTTCAGCGCAATACCATCGAGTTTAGAAGCTACCTATGTACGTCATGATGGATGCGCCCTCATTGAGCAGCCACTGTCTGCCCTGGGTCCTAATTCTTAGTGTGGCTCATAGGATGACAATTGTCATGGCATGTTGGGGCCTTTGCTTAGATTATTCAAGGGATTCCGGCACCAATGTTGGCAAATCTTTCATGCAAAGCCAGCTCTGCAATGCTGGACACATCTCAGCTTTCTGGCACCTTGTTTTGGGTTTCTTGTTTTGAGCATCGTACCATCGTATTGCAGTTTGAATGCCATGAGGCAGCCCTGATATTAAAAAAAAGAGTGCTCAAGAGCTGACGTCCATGGATCCCTACGCCTAAGCCCCTGCCGCACTGTTGTTCTGCGTGATTCGTGAAACCGATGCCTTCTCTTGGATCCCTACAATGTACCATGCCGGTAGCATCAAGGACTCCCACAAGGTGAAGTACTACTACCTGAACCCCCAATGTATGTAGAATAATGGCCTTCTGGGGTTATATTTAGGGTTTTTGGGCTATTATTTTACCTGCTTTTGGGGTTTAGGTAGTTTGCTTGTTGCTCGTGTTGTGGTGTCTTCCAAATAGCACTCACCGGTATAACCTCAAAGACATCCTTGTACAGTCCGCATCGCTCTAATTGTTAAGGCACGTCTCGTCTGGATGCCTATAGCGCCCACGAGGCGAGAAAAGCGACTCTGCCTGCATAGGGTTTCAATGTGCGTTCGGCTGTAAACACATTGAATGAACGCGATTGACAGTTAGGACAGTGAGGGAGCTGGTTGCCATTCTTAGCATGCCCCCAAACTTCAATTGTAAGACACCTGGTCATTCCCATGATAACGCTTCCGCTGCCCACACCCTTTTCTTCAGGGAACATACATAGAGACACTGATAGACGCCAAACGCTTCGCGCGATGACATGAATGAAAACAACAACAGTGAGTAAACCAATGTGTAGCTTCAATATACATCCACTGACAATACGATATATCTGCTAAACCTGACACGTCTGCGTGCTAGATTTCCGAGCGGCCGATGTCTGCTTCGCGTCACTTGCGTGGGAGCTCTATCTTCCTGCTGGCGTTGAGTTGAGAGTCACATGGTTCTCTTGGATTTTGAGTGCACATCATGCAAACCTGCTTGCAATGATAAATAATCTCCGCCAAAACTGAACTGATGCTTGGACCAAGTGGCACAGATCTGAGACGAACTATGATGCTTGAGACGCGTGTCAGAAGGCCCGAAACTTTCCAGGAGACTTTTTTACATAAGTTGAAGCTGAGAATGCTGAGGGGTAGTTTCTGGAAGGCGGCCCAACTTGGTAGACCTAATGAAAAGATTTTCAATGAAAGGCGCGCGGTAATCACAGGGTCTTCGTTTGAACCTAAAGTACACCGGGCTCAAGTTTTGAGGCCTGCCATCCAATCCTGCAATGGCTTTCCTGGAGGGGTGTTGCAATGCGCCAGGTGAACTCTCGTGTGGCCATGGCCGTTTCTCCATATGCCGCCAAGGCCAAGTCCAGTTTCACATCATCCCGGCAAGCATTTTTCAGACCTGTGCTAGCAGCCGTGGCTTCTGCGCCTTGCCATGTCCTGCTCGCAGCTTGGGTGCCTTCAACTCCGCCTGCTGATTTTGCTGCAGTGCTGGCTTGTGCCTCTCTGGGGAAGCATGGTTGCGAATGCTCTGCGGTTTCACACAACTTCAGCTATCTGCTTTTGTAATCGGATCCTCCACTTCATAATTACCTTATTTGTTTTTTTGAACCCTAAGCCTACAAGCACTCAAAGGATGATCAAGGCTTCCATATAGTACGTAGCTTCTACTTGGAACGTGAACAACATCAACGAGGCCAAGAGCAACGTAATGGCCACAGCATTACAGGGGAAGCAGTTTCCAAGTTCCTGGAGCAGTCCCAATATAACCCCCAATATATCTATATATATATATACACCCTATTATACTATAGTCGTTTGCATTTTCTTTTCCACTATCCCAATATAGCCCAACCCTAAAGCTCAAATTTGGAGCCTGCCTTTGTCCTTACTGTGTGTCTGCTCTGTTTGCAGCGGCCAATTGCGTCGCGAGCTCTTCTTATGCCCTCGGTTGGGGTGAGGCTCCGTGACCTTCTGTGTAGTCCGTCCTTGGCACAGTGCCTCCTCCCTCTGTACACATCGCCCCTCGCTGAAAGTTGCGTTGCTTCGGCCAGAGGCCCCAGCTACAAGACACAGTGCCCCACACCCTAGCAACCGTGTAGTTGATCCTTCCGTTACCAACCCGTCGCTCCTTGTAGCTACAAGGCCGTCTTTACTTTTGGCAGGTTCCACGGGTCCACGGCCCAAACGATCTCACATTTGGCCCTGCCCGGATTGCGGTCTTGCCACACGCCTTCGCTTGGTCTGGCGTGCATCGTATTCTGACGGCTCGTATTCTCCAAAACACCTGGAATGGTACCTGTAGTTGCGGAGGGCCTTATAACCGGATTCTGCATCACTTTTAATCGCTCAGCTGCTTTGGAAGGTCAACGTGTCGTGGTTCCGCGGGGCGGGTAAAGTAAGGGGCTTGGCCGCGCAAGGTTGGTGTTCAGCATCCCAAAATGTTGGCTCAAAATCCTTTCGCGGCATGTGGTCATCAGTTGTGTGCCATCTATGCCGGCATGTTGGCAATTTATTAGTAATCGTACCAATTCTAGCGGTGAATTTCATGTCATTGTGACTATGAGCCTGGCAGGCTTGTTTGGCTTGGAAGAATTAGCGCAGCTATAATAGGATTGAAATGATGGCGCTGGAAGTCTGCATGTGGACTACCCAACCAACCACCCTACCATACACTACCCATACCGCGAGGCCCTAGAGGTAATTCCGGAGCAAAAAGTGTCGGTGAGATGGAATCTTCAGCCGAGAAAGCCTCTGACCAAGCATTCCCGCGAGTGCAACAGCAACAATGCCTTCCTGACAAAACTGGCCAGGATTATTTCTGTAAGCCAAAAATTGCGTACAGGAAAGCTTCAATCTAGAAGACCTGATGTATGACAACTCGGACATAGCATGCTCTCCTTTACGTCGAACTTCTCGCCGGGCTGGAGTATGATCGCCAGGCTGTCCTTTGCCACGCCACTTCGATGCGCATGGAGGGACTTGATGCATCGATTCACCGTGGCCTCTACAGTTTCAAGGTGTCAAAACACTGAAGTGTTCTAAATGCAGATGTTGCCGACAGTTTCTTGAGATTTTCTCTTCTGAAGTTGGTCCATGGCGGAGCGCATGGAAGAATGCGCAGGTAGAATACGCACATGTAGACAACGAAGGGGCAAGTGGATGCACCTGCATGAACTCGTGGGGAGCGTCCCCCTGTGCGGAACTTCGGCTGCCGGCTCCAAACTCAGAACCACACTGCCTTCAATTTTCAACAAAAACTCTGAGACCTGTACTCCTAGATGAGCCCACGACCTCCCTCAGATAGCCGTTGCTATGCCTTCACTAGTTGTGGGTGATAAAGGGTGTCTCTCACTGCTAGTGAAGAAGGCAGTAGCAGTTTTCGTGTCACGGCCCTTTTCCTTTCCATTCGACTTCTCATTGTCTTTGAACCCATGGCGGCTGGGTGTTCTTGGCTCTTTCGGCCCCTCCTCATTTAACACAAGTTTCCGAAGAATGAAAACCCTTAACCCTTCAAGAGATGCTGGCTCACAGGTTATGTGATTGATTGTGATTGCATTGTGGAATGAAAACGAAACTTCAGACTCCCCGGATGTTGTATGCAAGTTCCCCCTCGGGAGTGTGTTCAGCGCAAAGCCCATGCACGTCAATAAATGAAACGCCTGTAGAACCATTGCGCAGTTTTAGAACAAATTTCTGACGCCAATTGCAGTACAAAGCCCAACAAACAGCCGAGTCCCTGGGGTATGTAACTGGCCTCAGGCGCGTTAGGAAGCAGTTCTGTGAATATCTGCACGATGTTCTCCACGCCAAAGCATATGCCAGTACACCAAAGGCACCAGTCCTTCAAACAGGTCTGTGGGCGTTTGGCCATGTCTTGATGGAGGGGCCTTGCGTTTAATGGAATGTCGAGGAGAACGATGGGAACTGCCACTGGCTGATCATAACGTCTACAGGTTTCTGCAAGGTTTGCATAAGGACTCACCGAAAGCGTTGTCGCGAGTATACAGGTTTCTGGATACAACCATCCGACAACCCCACGAAATCCAATTCATACTACTCCTATCATGTCCTCATGCCCCCATACAAGTCGCATAAGACCCTTGAGATGCGAATACCCCAAATCTGCCCGGCCTTGAGACAGGCCAGCTGGCTACAGCAACATCTTCGTTTGGGTTCGTGCTCGGCACCTGCTTCATCCTCTTCGGATATCGGCTTCGTTCTCAGCATCACGGGCTCAATGGATGCCCAGGGAATTGTCTTCTGTGCACGCTGATCCACATAGGCTGCTCTGCCTCACTTCTCCACTGCCCCAACACAAGAGTAACCAGCACAACAATCCACTGCAACTGAAAATTTCAAAGCTCAGGTAATTAATCGGTAAGCGAGCAGCACAGAACCACTCCAAAGAGAGCAATGAAGGCAAATGTCGACACGGCTGGCAGTGTTCTCATTCATTTAGTTCCTAAGAGCTTTCCAAATCCTTCCGGCGTAAGGAGGTCTCCTGCATTACCTCGGATTTGAGCTAACCCTTTGCAGACAAGTCCAAGGCCCGAGGGCCAAGAATCCCCAACCAGGACGTGACGTTTCAGGTCTGATAAGTATGGTAACTGACAACTGCTCGCATTTGTCACAACAGTGGCGATAATGTCCTGATGCCCTAACCTAAGGATTCGACAGAGAACTGAAAAGCACCCGCAGACATTAAAAGAAAACGCTCATCAAAAAATGCCCGGCTTCTGCAATATATCGCCAAGAAGGCGTTCTCCACAATTGTCTGTATCACCTTAGCTGTCTCCGGTCAGCAGTGATGAACTTCCTTCATGAAGTATGCAGAGACTCGAACAAGGAAAAGGCACAAGAGCCGACCACCAGCCGAGGCACCCCAGCAAAGATTGTCAGATGGGTGGTCCGACACATGATGTGACCCGGAACGTTGCTCGGATGCGTTGTTAAGCCTGCGCTGCAAAGAGGAATCTTGAAGGTAATCCCCACCCCTGTTTGTTGGGCACTGCCATAACCATAACACCATCATGTATGCACGATGGCTTCATTGAAGGCAGGGTACAAGTTGTTTGACTCTCAAATCCCAAAAGAAGAAGCAAAGATGGAATACCTCATGTTTCAATTGAGTGGGCTTTTTCTGGCGGTTGTACCAAGTAAGGGTATGTAAAATACTGTACCCGAGAGGAGTCTCTAATCTTATTCTATATATTATATACATATACTGTGCAATGATATAACATGCCCAAATGAAATGCTGCACAACTCCCCTTTGGCAGGAAATCCCCTGCAAGGCTATATACGTTACGAAGGCTTCTCACAACCTCCAGTAAGCAAATGTTCCCCATCTTCGCCAACCGCACTTCAGAACCACAAAGCCGCGTGCCAGGAACCTTTGAAAGACCACGATGACGCTTCTTCATCCTCGGAATTGCTTCAGCCAGGTTGACAAATAAATCCAGTCCACCATTTCGCTACCATCTTGTCACAAAATTTTGAAGCACTTCTGATATTGGCTGTTCTATGTGGTGGCGCGCGCAGAGATCGGCTGGCGATTTGTGCGCGTCCTATTTGTTTGTTGATGGTTTCTCGCCTTCTCTGCTGCCCCGAGTGAGCGCAGACTACTCCGATTCGTCGACGCTTCTCTCCATAGCACCCATGCCCAAACCAGAATAACGATAACCAGAGCATCCACGCCCAAACCATAATAACGTTCGTGTTTGGAGAGGATACGCTTACGTTCACAGAGCATGCGGTGACCAGAGCATCCATGCCATAATAACGTTCGTGTTCCAAGAGCATACGGTCACAAGAGCACCCATGCCCAAACCATAATAACGTTCGTGTTCCAAGAGCCTACGGTGACCACAGCGCCCATGCCCAAAACATAATAATGTTCGTGTTCCAACAGTATACTTTGACCACAGCATCCATGCCCAAACCGTAGTAACGTTTGTGTTCGAAGAGCATACGGTGACCAGAGCATCCATGCCCAAACCATGTTCAAAAGGTGCAAGCCACACACATGTGGTCCTGGCGCGCGAGTCAGAACAGCAAGCCATGCTTCCTGCATGCCTTGGCGCAGCTGTGCCCCAAGGGAACCTGATTGTAAGTATAATCTATACGAAATGACCTAGTCGTGCGTTCGCGATGCCCTGGCGCAACAGTGCCTTGTAGAAGGCAACATGTTGAGTAGCTTTCGTCCAACAAACGCAGATGATCGTGCGAAAACGAATTAGTTTACATGATTTCGCACTTGCCCATTTTACGGCTGAGATCGCGCTAAAAACCCAATTTTGTGCACTCTGCACGCGTTCTATGCGCGCGTGACCTAATTACATACATACCTGTGCATGCAAGCCCCGGGGTCAAGTCTACTGGCACTCTCAGACAACATGGCGTGCCACAACAAAAGCATGAACTCAACGTCTCACTTCCATCTCCCTTAGTAGTGCCCTCATTCGCGAGGGCTTCATTTCACTTGTTCGTGATACTGATAACTGCTTTTGAAAATGCAAAATTTCATGCATCCCTGGCCTAAGCACTCTCTCACAACAGGGTTTAGGGTGTAAGGGTTTAGGGTTTGGGGTTTAGGGAATATTCCGTGGCATTCCAAAAAAACTGCAGTATGCGAGAACATCCTGGTATACATCGTAACACTGTATCATATCCCATCATATGCGATGATGTACTGCGAAATACTATGCTATTGTGCAAAGAACTGTAGCATACGGAAAAGCCTTCATGTGCTTGGCATTTATTCACGAGACATGTACCAGTATACATCTTATACCAGAACTCTATTTTTGTGGAACATGATACAAGAATGATGTACAACGCGACATTAGCACAAAAACCGACACAATGCACTGTGATACACCATGGTAGAACAGGTTCCCACTGGAAACCTACTAGATATAAAGGGACTCTAATGGGAACCCCAAACAGGGAACCCCAACAATATAGTAGGAATATAGCAGAATATAATTAAGGACTCTGGTAGGTATATTCCTGCTATGTTCCTACTATATTCTTGGGGTTCCCTGTTTGGGGTTCCCAGTAAAGTCCCTTTTAGAGAATCTTATGCCAGCTCCAAGAATCCCAGAATGCACAGGCTGCATCTTTGCTCTCCGCACGGACCATGAGTTCCAGCGGCTCGGGAAGGGTGTGCAGCTTGATTTCTGAACCGTCCTCTCGCCTCAATGTGACGCTGACCTTGGATTCAGGGACTTTTACATGGATCTTAGGAAAAGAAAAGACAGGCTGGAACATCATTAGCTATAACTGAAACTGTGCTAAGATGAACAGCTGGAACAATTAGGCTGGCAGGCATAACAGCTAATCTTGAATTGCGACAAAAGTCAAATTTCTAAGTTGCCAAGTCGCCGTCTGAGACTTGACAACAGAGCTTAGCTCGCCTTCCCGACGGGCTTCAGCAAACTTGTTGGCTTTCTCCTCCGATATAACCCCTAATATAATATAGTAGTTTCCATTTGCTTTTCCATTATCCCTATATAAGCCTCATATATATATATATATATGTATGTACATATATATATATATGTACCCTATTCTAACCTAATATATACCCTATTATGGTAGTTTCCACTTTCTTTTCCATTATCCCTATATAACCCCTAAAAGAAAAATCTTCTCGGCAAGCTGCTCCATGGCAAATCAAGTGTAGTCTGCCCCTTCCTTCACATAGTATAGTCCCCCTTCGGCAGATAGAATATGGCTTTGGGTATAAAATAGTAGGATCCCCATATACACCACATTCTATCTACTTAAGGGGGACTATAAATTCACAGAGTATGTTACGCTGTATTAAGGACCTTGCTATTCTGATGAACACAATGGCTCCTTCGCAACTTCCGTGAGGACGAGGAGGACCAGAGGCGCTTCGTTCCTTAACAATGTATGGCGGAATTTGTGACTGTCCCGACTCTGATTGTTATGATCATGATCCCAACGCGGAATATCGTGTCAATGTCATTGCCGCGGCTTTGCGTGGACTATAGTCTTGCAACTACCGAGTCACATTGTGATGTGAACACGTCTTGCTTTCTTCTAGTTGCAAGCTCTCTGAGTTGTTTCTTTTGATCTGGCGACTCCAGGCACCAGGCGGAAGCTGGGAATGCACTGAGATCATCTGAGCGAGAAACAATTCACACCAGCTTGTCGCCTTTGAGGTGATCCAGGTTGAAAGCATGATTCCCAATGCGCGAGCGCAGCTTTCAGTTGGCCGGCTGGAAGGTTTTGTTGAGTAAAGGGGAGCCGAAACTTGAGTTTGAATGCGTTGGGTTCGAAGAGTGCGTTCCGGCACTGTGGCCCCAGAAGCCCTTTGTGCGGCGCATGCGGCGCTGATTCACGAATAGTCATGGTATCGCCCAATGGGAGGAACAAACCCCGTCGCTCCCCTCGCAACGTGCGAGCTAGTGCTAGCACATCCGCAGTCTCGCGCTCGGGGGATGCTGGCATGTTCAGGTAGATGTCGATACTTGGTACCATATTGCCACCTCAGACTGGCTATGTCGCATAGTTTCTACTATACTATGAAGTTCCAGGCCCTCCCCAGCCGAGCGTTATAATCAAAGGAATTGCTGTGATTAGTTTGGCTGGGCGTTTAAAGCCCTTCCCCAGGTTGGTCTGGTGGTCACCGGGCTTTTTGCTCTTGAACTCATCTTGGCAGCGTGGCTCATTGCCAAGTTCGATCTCTTAGCGAGACCACCCCATCCCACAGCAGCCCTGCCGTGAATCCTTCCATGTATGTACCTGTGACCTCTCTGCCTGAGCTGGGTCCTTATCGTGCAGAGGCCGGTCTCTGGTGGAGGCAGAGGAGGATGACGGGAGGCCTAAGAAGCTTTACGCCTTGAACCCAAAACGCGCCAAAGGTGCAGTATATTGACATGTCAGGGCGTTGGCCTACCCCACTTCGTGAACAGGTTTTGAAAGGCTCCAGCCCTGTGTGTCAAGCTCCGCCTCTTGTGTGGTTGGGATGGGGAAGCTAAGTTCTTTGTTTTCTCAAAATGCTGGCGTCCCAGCAATCACAACCATTCTCATTACGACAACAAAGCACAAGAAGAAGGTCGAAGGGTGCTAAAGCTGAACGACTACTGCGAATATTGCTATCAGAACTATGACATGAATCATAAACCCGGCAACTTTATCAGATCCAAGGGTCTGGCCCGGTTCTTGCGCAGCCAAAGACACGACGGATGCAGGAACTCGCGCAACCGCGCCAGCCTCGCTGTATGGGCCTAAATAACCCTCAAAGATCCAAGCAGCTAAAATGCAGGGAATGGAAACCCTTCTTTCTACTTTGCAGGCGTGCGCATTGCTTGTTTAGGCTTCTAAAACAAACAATGCCAAGGGTCGCGGAGAAGGGGTGGTTCAGAATGCTTGGAGGTTCGCGCACAGTCCCTGATATTCAATTCGACAATGAGCTGTG